ACTGTCGCACAGATCCAGAAAGCAAGGGGTGGAAGTAGGGGTGGCCCCTCTCACTATCCTCCAGCAACCTAGGCCAGACTTTGTTCTCATCATCTCCATAAGTTTAGGTTTGGCAAATCTAGAGGTCCTGGCTCAAGGGGTAGGGAAGGCTTCCACTGTGGAACACCAAAGTCATGGTGGGCCCCTGTTACTTGTGCTCCTCATGCCGTAAGATCAGCAGGCAGAGCAGAGTTTCCAGGCTGGCCAGGGTACTGGATGCTGGGAAGGGAGAAGGGCAGAGCTACCATTACATAGGGTAGGAAGAAGTCTATCTGGAAATCAGGGGGTTCACTAGGGCCTTTCTAGTGCTCTATGACCAGTCTTAATTACGACTGGACTACTATGGCAGCCAGAACCACACAAGGGTGTGACAAGCAGGGACTTGTGCTTCATAGGGTGACAGTGTGGGCTGCCTCATCCCACCCAGCAACTAGAGCGGCAGAAGGCTGGCCACCAGTCAGGGGACCCCAAAAGGGGTTAGGAAGAATAAGTTAATGAACATCAACTTAACGCAGACTAGCTCTAGCTGGTTACCAACCCTCTTCTCCCACACATCGTGACCAGCATCATCCTGAAGAAGGAGGGAAGTGAACCCAGTGTGAGACATGGGCAGAGCTGAGTGGGGCCAGGGTAACAGCAGACACTCGTGTGCTCCAGTGCGGTCCTGTTACCAAGGAGTCTGATATTCCTTCCTCCCCAGTGGTGCCAGAGCCTGCTTTGCCTGCATGTGGGGTGTACTCAGAAGGGCTGGAGGTATCTGACAACTGCAGCCCCCAGGTGCAGCCCTTAGCTGTGGACTAATCCATAGAGAGGCATGAGCTCTGCAGCTCTGAGGGGTGACCACCCTGTCTCCAAGCCCCCGTCGGGGATGACCCAGATGCACCCTGGCACTTGGCTCCAGATCCATTTCTGATCCCCCTTCTCTTAGCCGTCCATTTCCCCAAACTTCCCTCTCATGGTCTTGCCCGGGAGTGCTTCCTAAGAAATGACTTGAACAAGAACCCCACCTTAAGTGTCTGCTCCGGGAGAAGTCACCTTAGGACTGAGATGAGATTTTTTGCCATTTAATTCTGACATAATGCATTGTACTCAAAGAATATTGCTTTATGATTCAGATTCCTTGAAATTTGTCGAGACAATTTCATATTTTAGCACTTGGTCAGTTTTTACATATAATCTGTGTATGTTTGATATGAATGAGTATCTCATTTTATTTACACATACACACACACACACACACGTAAAACAAACCTAATAGTCTAAAATATTCTAAATTCTTGTTGGTTTTAGTTCATGTACTTTGGTGCCAAGTTGTTAGATTTGTCAGACACACACAGATTTAAAAGATTCTTGTCTTCCTGGTCAGCTGTTACAATGAAGCTCCCAGGTGCCTCTCAGACCACCAGCCTAGAGGACCTTTTGGAAACCACTTTCTTATCCAAGAGAAAGCATTTCCCAAGGCAATACCCAATCCCCAACTCCACCTCTGGAGAGGAGCCTCCTTCTTTCCAGGGGCTCCTGGGGAACGCTGGCAAGAGAGAAGGGGCTAACACTCAGGACCTGGAGGCGCACTGAGGAGCACTGCCTGGAAGGAAACCATTCTGGGGCCCTGCAGGAAGGACAGGAAACACTACTTACCGCAATCTCTGTTACTAAAATATCAGTAATACTTCCCAACACAGTGACAAAGTCAAAGACATTCCAGGCATCTCTGAAATAGTTCTGGAGAGAAAAAAGAGCAGTTACTGCTAGAGGCTGGTAAGGGTTCTGCCAGGCAAAGAGTTGCAGGAAGTACCCCTGATCAAGAAAGGAGCAAAGGGACAGATGGGCCACCCAGGGGGGACACCACAGCTGGGTAAGCAAACCCCTGTGGGTCTGGGCAGGTGCAGAACTGAGAGCTGTGTGTCCAAAGAGGAGGAGGCTGGCCCCGCCTGTCTCCAGGAACTGGGCTCGGGGCAGAGCTCAGGCAGCTCAGGGTATTGGAGCAGCCCCTTCCTCAGGAGCCCCCGCAATGTCACATTTGCTCTGGGGGCTTGGGGAATTCCCAGCTCTAAGCTACAAGTCCCTGAAGATCCCCCCTAACAGAGAGGGAGCCAGAATGCAGACCACCAAAAGGCCAAGAGGGAGCCAAGGCACCTACCAGCACCCCAAAAGCGATGATCTTCAGCACGCATTCCATGGAGAACATGGATGTGAACACAATGTTCAGGCATTTCAACATTAGCTCATATTCATATGGTGCGTCATAGAACTGCA